CACATGGGATTTGTCTGTTCCCTTGAGTAACATATAGAATTTTCCTATATAATAGCTAATTTTCTCTCTCATTCTTATTGGTTTTCTATTTCACCCTCTGTCAGTGTAAATGGCTGTCTACTGCCATTGACCCCTTCACCACTCTCTTTTGCCTGGTCTTCATACTTTTCTACATCTTACTTCCTTTTTTACCAGGCATTTCATCAGAATCCATTCTGTTTTGACCATTGCAGGTTACTGTGCAGTATTGTCTATAGCCTTCTGCTTCCTTCCTTTTCTGTTCTCATGGACTGCTTCAAGGCCTTTCTCTTGTTCTCATGGGTCTCTTCAAGGCCTTTCTTTTGTTCATTGAACTTATCATCCAGACCCTTTTCCTGACTGGGGCCTTGTGTGTTCCTTGCATCATTTGTTCTTTAAGGCATATTTTTCCTTCTTCTTGATTGTGGTCATTGTCATTCAGAAATTTACACTATAGATGCTTCCATTACTCTATCATAGAGACATGTTAATGTTGTTTCTAGACTGCGCCTTTCCTCCAAAGACTTGGGCTGCCTGGGAAGGCAATTGGATGTTTTCTTATATCTCTCTCCCCTCTATTTCCTCTTTGTACAATTGTTCTGATCCATTGTTAACTTGCTTTTTGTAAAAATTGCCATCACATATTTTTATCATGGAATACCACTTCTTGGGACTTGTCCCCTTACACTTTCAACTTATTGAGTTTGCCAGCTCATCCATCTTGCTTATTTTTCTTTGGATGAGTCTGACCATGTGCTCTTTCATGTTTCCTCCCTACCAGTCTCTCTTGCCTCTTTCTGTTGCCTGCCTTTGGAGGATATCTTGTAGGCTGGTATGTGGATTACACCAAATACTTTCATCTCCTGTTACTTACATAACTGGTGGTTTCATTTGCCTGTGGTTTTTTGCCTCCCTCCTATTGCCATCTTTTAGTTTACCCTAAGGTTCTGATGTGGTGACTTTTATCTGTAATGTTTTCAGTCATCTCCATGTCATTCGTACATTTCATAGCACCTCCATGTGTGTGTATCATTATTTTTGTGCACATTTCAACACATTGCATAATGATAATAAAAACAACATTGAATGCTGCCAAATTGCTGATGTTGTCTCACAGGAAATATTTACCTGTAATCCATATTGAGTCGAGGTGAATGGAAAATGTTAAAGCCATTCACCCCTTCTCACTGCCCACCAGTAAGATGAAGTTTTCTGCAAGACTTCTTTGGCAATACATTTGTACAATTGACAAGACAATTTTTGCACCTTTTACAAAAAACAAATGAAAACAAAACCAGACAGCCCCAGTTGTGGTCCTGCACTCACATCTGAACCACTCTTGCTGTCTTTAGTCTTAAAACCCCATTGCACTCTCTCTCTCTTGGTGGAAACATAAATCCAGATAATCGTGTGTGATGACAATAATCCATGCACATTCTTTGGTGTTATCTCCTACTCTTCTAGTGGAGCACAGGAGAACCCTTACTTTGCCAGTCCAGAGATGCTGAGGATATTGCTGTGGAAAGTTTTCTTTATTAGTGGTGCCTAGGACCTCAGTAAAAAAACAACTTGGGCCCATTCCTCATTTGAGATGTCTGGTTGGGTTGTTCCTGAGAAGTGTAATACAGGACATCCCAATACAGTATCTCCCAAGCAGTTCCCAGTGGATATGTCCAGTAGGATGTGACTTAGATTTGCCTTGGGATGCAGGTGAGGGCTCCTACTCCCTCCACCTGTCATTACAGTATCTATCTCATATAAGTATTTCTTCAAAATGGAACAGCCTAAAACCCTAGCCACACTATACATTCTAATGTTCTGCCCACCTTGGTTACACATTACCATTGTCACTGGATTTTCCAGATATCCTTTGCTCTAATGAAAATATTAAATAAATCAATAAATAAGAGATTGGGTGAAAAGTATTCCCTGCTTGAGAAGGATGGAGTCTCCCACTAGATGCTGCTCGACTAGGTGATCCACGGCCTCATGGAAGTCACGCCCCATGGATTTTCTGTTGCTATTTCAGAAAGGAGCTCATCTTTTTACTTTGTATACACTGGCATTTCCACCATCTTCAATGTGGGATTCTAGCTCCTAGTGGTGCAGAGCCATAAGTAACACTTATGAAAATGTATTTCAGATAGATACTTACCTCTCTTCACTACCTCCCCACTTTTTGGTGCATTTTTGTTTGCCTCATCAAGAATGAGTCTATGATCATGTGCCAGTGTTCACAAGGATTACTGTGCATGGAGGGTATGTTACCCTTGTATTGGAGATTTTCAGCATTATCACAATTGTGTCATAAGCTGGTACAATACACATAGGTGTTTGTAGGGGGTGGGAATTTATTTAGGGCTTGTGGCATGTGCAAGAAGTTCCATGGCAATTGTAAGAGATATAATAGGTCTTAGTGGTGCAGAGAAATAAATATCTATCGTAAATACATTTTCAGGTAAGAAAAATTTTAACTTGCTAGTTTTAAAGTGATTTGGTTTATTAAAATACTAGTTCTGAGGCTTTCATTACTGTAAGCAATTATAAATTTGTTCAGACTTTATCCTTTTCAAAGTTAGCAATCTGGAAGCCTTTAGAATTAATATACTTTTTTTAAGGTGTGTAATATTTTGACATGTTTTTTTCTATATTCAACTTATTTCAGTACATCAGTATTAAAAGAGAAATTAGAGGGTATGCAATTTCAAAACTATATTTTTCCTTCACTAGGATCTTTAGAGTGCCAGGCTGGATGTGTACTTGAAAACTTGGAGACATATGCAAATGAGCGTGGCTTTATGATTCCACTAGATCTTGGAGCCAAAGGTAGCTGTCAGATTGGTGGGAATATTGCCACTAATGCAGGAGGTTTGAGGTTATTGCGGTATGGGTCTTTACATGCAAATGTGCTAGGACTTGAAGTAGTGAGTATTCTATATAAAGTATTATAAATATGTTAGTAGTATGATTTATTGCATTTTTTGCAATTTAGTTTTGTAAATTGCAATGGTAAGCATATTTCTGTAGTTCAGATTTCAGGCAATAAAACCTGTTCTATGAGCATTGAAGTTTTGAACAATGTTAGATTTAAATAATTGGACAATGAGGTGATATTTATTAGAACCCTCTGCTCTTGTTTTATCCTTTATTTCACCATCCTCATACAATTGTTTATCAATACCTTTATAATATATGATGTTACATATTTTCCTGAGCCCCTTTTTTTTTTGTAAAGAAACATAAGAAAAGATAAGGTGCCAGAAAACCATCTGGTCCATTTAGAGCATCCTTCCCTACTGGTGCTGGTTGTGCTGTTATCTTCTTCCTGCTGGTTCATAGCTGGAATCTCATTAATGCTGGCTTTTGGCATGTGTCTTCTTCCTGCACTATTTTAACCCTATCACTATGGGTCATGGGTCAAAGGCCATGTCATCACGTTTTTTGACTTGCATTCAAAATTTGATTGAACTACTATTTTATGCA